TGAAACCTAATTTCATTGACCTCGAGGTCACCGATGACGTCACAGGTCACGTCAAAGTAAAAATTATTAGCATTTTGCTTGTTCACGTTTTGGGCTCTGGCCGCCGTCTTACAAGTCAGATCAGGCTCATTTTTTGATCACACACTCGTGAACAGATGCTCTAGATACCCCGAGGGTACCAAACTTGTACTTTGATTTTCAGGTCAAGGTCAGGTCATCACAGGTCACGAAAATATTATATCATGCGTCGGTCACGTGACACATGTTTTATGGTCCATTTAGGCCAGAGATTTCGAATGTGATGTCGTCTGTGTCATTCGAGGTCATTTTGAGTCGAATTTAGCTTAGGTCAGGTCACTTTCAGGTAAAAAAGGTCAAATTTTGAAGTTAAAATTTTTCAACAAAAAAGGTGTCTATTGGATGCAGTTTGAGCTCAGGAACACGATGGTGCTATTTATATTGGCGTACGATGTCAAATACGTGCTGAAAAATTGATTTGAAAAATTAATAATTGTGAATTTTTTGCAATAATGCGTAAAACTTGGCCATTTTTGAAGATATTTAGCAAAAACTTGCTATAGTTAGTCATAATAATGTTTTCTATCACATATATTCCGGTTTTTTCGAAAAGTCAAAAACTTTTTGAAAAAAATGTAAAAAGATAAATTTTGGATTTTATTATATCAAATTTTCGAAATTTTCAAAATTTCGAAAATCCGAGATAGCAGTTTGATAGCGCAGTCTATTCTGAGTCCTCTCATGCAAAGAAATTGGATCTAGCTTAACAACTGAGCTCTTGGGAGCGATTGCCGTGGTTCAATGTTTTGCGTCGAAATCGGCCGAACATGACGTCACTCTGACGTCATTTCCGGCCGACCTATGGTAGCTACGAAGTTAAAATTTTGACACAAGGTGTCAAATTGATGCAGCCGAAGGTACTGAAAGTTTGGCGTCGATACGTCAAGCGGTTTGGAAGTTATTGCAGAAAAACGGGAGGGGGGGCTATAAATAGCCCCCCCAGTGGGGCGCGGGTTAAGGTGGGAGTGTCCCTTTAACGCTCCTAAAACAGGTCGATGAAAGAGGTTAGGCATTAGTTTAGCCATAGGCGGCGGAACGGGGAGGGCACCGGGGCACCGTGCCCCCTTTGATTTCGGCATTTTAACATTAGCCCTATGGGCGTTGCATGGAAAGAATGGAATCAAAAGTCGGCAGTGCCCCCCTTAATTGAAGGTGTTCCGCCGCTACTGAGTTTAGCCTTTGATTTGTTCCGCATTAAGTTCTAGTCTTTCATTATTCCGTTTATGAATGTGTTCCGGTAGAATTTCCGTTAGTAAGCTGTTTTTAACACCACTGGTCGTGATTGCAACAACGGTCCTCACTCGACCAGAAAAACGGCTTGCATTATTTGCATGTTTCGCTGTCCTATAAAAGACTGGTCCATTTTGAGTGTTCGATTATCTCGTTCATTCCTTCCTGGCCTGAGGGGCCTGTTCCGGCCATTGTCAGCCGAACTGTTGGGATGTCTGTTGGCTGCTGAAGGAGACTCAGAGGCCATGGGACCTGTCCGTTCCGTAGTATCTGTTTCTCATCTGCTCTCTGTTTGTACTCCGCCTGTTAGAAACGACGTCAGAACTCGCGATTATGTAGCGCAGATTTCCGCTGGCCGCTATTTTATCGGGGCAACTGTTTTTGTCTGTTTACGCTTGAGAGCGTGGAGCGAGGTTTGGTAGATGTCTGATTTGATTCCTCGTAAATATTGGCACAGACATTCTGCGTACGCATCAGAAGACGAATGGAAAATTTTAGCTCAGCTGTGCTGTATTTTATTCCTCTCGTTTATTTTGATAAAGTGCTTCATGGTATTTCGACGTTTTATTGTACAAAACGACAAGACGCGACACTTTATTTGCCGAACAGTAAGGTCGGAATGTTATAGGGCGAATGGTGCTAATGCATCAGTTTTTAGCTATTTGACTCAGCTTGCTGGAGTATTAGTGGCTTATCCCGCGTCCAGTGCAGCGTCGCCGGACGTGTGACCCTGACCGGTCGTTTTGTCCCACCTGCCCCACTGGAACAGACCCGTGGGGCTGTTGTACGAGATTAACGAATAGTGGTGGGTAACATAGTACTGTTTGCGAGTCGGAAAAAAATTATTCGTGAAAAGGAATATCAGCAGCATTAAAGAACTGATACGTAAAGGTGACGAAATTTAACTAAACTGGATATATTTTATTTTCGATAAAATAAAAGTTTATCGTGCCGAATTAGCAGCTCCATATGCTCCAGTGTGTCGTCCCTTCTCACGAATATAACAGCCCCTGTGTCAGTGCGCCTGGTCCAGATCTGCGCTCGATCGCCAAATAGGGTCACATCTGGGGAGCCTCTCGGACCGGGGAGAGTCGCCGATCTCCGACACGTCTGCCACGCACGTGTGAGCGTTACTGACTGACGGGAGGACCAAAACGCCCATCTGGGACCCAATCGGTCACATGGCGACACTCGTGGGCAGGCTGATGAGTTACGATTCACATAATTTTACTGGATTTATTCTTCGTAGTTCGTAGGTAGTGCCCATTGCGATGTTTTTAGGGGCTAATTTATTCTCATATATAGTGTGCTGCGTCGGTACGAGCAAGTCACTGCTTTTCACACAAGTGTATTCGACAAGACAGTCCGGTTCCGCGCTATAATAGACGTCTCCCGGTTCGCACATGGCCGCGTCCTCCCCTCCGTCTTCTCCGTCCCATTCTGAGTCACGTTCTCTCACCCTGCCGGGGACAACGGGCCGATTCGGCGGCAGCTATTTGAACCTTCCCGTCCAATCCTCCCGGCGCCGGGGGCTCTCCCGGTGACTGTCGGTCCGCTGACGCCGGTGCCCGCGGCACTCCCTCTGATGTATCGCCACTGACCGAAATGGAACTGTTGACGCCAGACTGGACGCTAGGCTCACGCATACAAACAGGATACAGTGCACCGTGGGATAGGGATTTTGGCGATAGGGGAAGGCCCAGTGCCCACTAAGATGAAATGGTGAGGTGTGTGATTAGGTGCAAGGGTTGGCCGGTTGCACAGTTGGCGCGGGCAGAAAGCAGAATATTGTGACCTGTGTAGCAATGTGATAATATGATTATAAATTTGCCTAAGATCTAATTGATTATTACATTATATCGATTCACATCGTTGATCGTAAAAGCATTCATAAACAATCACTATTCACTCCTACACTGGCCCTGTAGTTGTCTTGGTGATCTGCGGTCGGTCGGTCGGTGACGGCAGCCGGTTTAGCCCCCACTCACGCGAGCCGTCGCCTCCTCCCTGGCCACTCTGGTGACATGTGGAGCGGACGGGACGCAGCGGCACGTCTGCCGACCTACCTTCGCGGAGAGTGGCGACACGCCAGCGTCGATCGCCGATCTGATAGAGCTCTGGACGCGACTCATCCGCGCGGGCCGCGAGCGCTGAGAGGTAACGAGCCTCGTCGCCGAGCGGGCCGCGTGATGAGGCGAACTGCGGTCGCATTCCGTCCAGCCGGCGGTGACGGTCCGGCATCTCCGGCCGCCCAGTCCGCCGAGAGGGAAGTAAAAAATCCGATCGGTCAATTAGAACGGCGGCGAATGATGTCCGGGACGCGCCGGTGTGTGCAGCGAATGCTGATGTCCCCCGGTGGCCCCACGGCGCTGTTGCGACATGACATGGGTCGGTCTCTTAGGACGTGGTGTGATGGTGGTGATGGGCCGGAATGATAGCGGACGGTGCACCTGTCATGAGAAAGAATGGGATGTGGAGCAGACTGTTCTGGATCGCGCAGATTTACTATATGAGTGACTAGGAAATGATTTGAGTGGCGTTATCAGCATGCGCTAGATATGCAAATTTTCGTCATTTTGTTTTCGCACTTGCACTTTGAATTAAATCTCAGTTATGTATTTCACACCGGGAGCGGGACCCTGTTTTTCGTATAATACTTGAACCAATAAGTTTTGTTCATTACGTGGCATGTGTTTTCACTTTCAGCCATCTATGGACCTGTCTTGATTCATGGGCTTGATCCATACTCTTGGTGCTATCTTAGGACATTATGCGAGACCCTTGCCCCTTCTTTTGTCCCAAATACCCATCAGGCCAACTTTGCTGCGGGGACACTGAAGTTTGCTTCACTGCAACTACTTCCATAAACGATTTGCTCGTCTGAAAGAGCCCAATTTGTCCTCCAAACTTAAAAACCTAACCTTTCTGTTCGTGGGCTGTAGCTATAGCCCGTAGTTTCTTGTCAAATAAATCGTGCAGATATGCACTATGGACGAGTGGGTCTGGCAAGGATAGACTATGGCTGAAGATTGCAGATGTTGGTCGTTCTGCAATCCTCCAGCTACGCTCCTTGACTCGTCTTTTTTCCCGTTTTAGCGGCCAGAGTAGTGACCCGACAGCTACAATGGCGGGCGGGGAGGGTTAATGTCCGCCATGAGCTATGTGTTTATATTACGGTGTGCCGCCGCCACTTCACGTGAATGGTGCTATGTATATTTGTGTCGAAATTTATAGAGGACGGGGTTTGATCGATTGGGTGTTTGGGCAGCACGATAGTCGTGCGGTGCGATCAGTCGTAACTGTCTTTTTTGTCGTGCTTTTATTTTATGTACTGTAGGATCGCGAGGCATCTGTTCGGATGGGTGCACAAGCACATGTGCGGCTTACAAATCGTTCACCTTGCTCTTTAACCTGTTTATCGATCATTGGGGCATTCAGCACCCCTGATCTTTGGATAGTCTGGACTTTGCTTGTTCATTATATTTTACCAGTTATTTTTCAAAGGAAATCTCGGCTTTGCATTCTGCCTGATGTCGAACTATCGTTGCCTCTTGGATGTGCCGTCAATTTCGTTTTACTCTTACTTACTCTTACTCCGTTTACTCCGTTTACTTTACTCTTACTCCGTTTTACTTTTGCTAATGTGCCGTCAGTCCCGGACTGACCCAAGTCTCGTCCTCCTGTCTCCACAGACGGCTGGACTACCTCTCTCTCGCCATGGACGCCAGCCAGCAGTTCTGTCTCAAGTGGAACAACCACCACAGTAACCTGCTGAGCGTCTTCGAGACCCTCCTCCGCTCAGAGGCCTTCACCGACGTCACCCTTGCTGTCGACGGCGCCAGCATCAAGTGCCACAAGATGGTACTGGCGGCGTGCTCGCCGTTCTTGCAGAGTCTACTGGCGGAGCATGTGACGGCACATCCGATTGTCGTCCTGAAAGATATCCGTCTTCACGAGATGCGAGCGCTGCTGGAGTACATGTATCGGGGCGAGGTAAACGTGGCCCAAGAGCAGCTGGCCTCGCTTATCAAGGTAGCCGAGACGCTGCAGATCAAGGGTTTACTCGACATGGGCCGATGGGAGGCCGAGAAGACGGGCAGTGGCGAGAGGGCGACGATCGAGCCGCGCCAGCCCTGTCCCGACTCGAACCGGCACTCTCCGGAGCTGGCGCAGCCCAAGCAGCCGCCTCCTCCTCCGCCACCAGTGGAGGCTCCGCAGGTGTCCGCGCCCCAGCCGCCGCCGCACCCCCTGCACCCGGCGGCGGCGGCAGCGGCGGCAGCAGCGGCAGCGGCCGCCGCGGCCGAGCTGCAGAAGAAGAAGCGGAAGCCGCAGGAGGTCTGGTGCGAGAGTAACCCGATCCTGCGCACGGTGCTGGGCCACGGCGGCATGTCGGCGCTGGATGTGCCCTCGCTGATGGCCGCCGCCATGGGACGCGAGATCATGGACCGGGAGTTTGCCGACAGACAGGTGAGGACGGCTGTGCAGAGCCGGGGATGGAGGTGGGTGGTGGAGAGTGTGCATGTGTATGTGCAGGAATTGGCGGGAGAGGTGAGCTGCTGGGTACAACTTCGAAGGATGCGCTTGGGATGTTTGGTCATCCTTTTCAATTACTCATTGTGCTATCAACGTAAAATCGAGAACACCGTTGCAGCTATATTTCTCTCGCACATACTATTGATGCGCGTATACGCCCTGACTATCAATGGCGCCGATGCTTATTTTATATGTACTTACTTCCAGTCGTTATCAAACCTATAAGCGCCATTGTTATCGTCTCAGCTTCCGTGGTTATTTATTATAACACAATTTTACTTTTAGATCGATCGATCTTACTGCTATCGAAGCCGAAGCCTTTTTATATGCTGTAAAAAAGCATCTGCCCTGTCGGGCTGAATCCCCATCAGAGTGTGACAGTCGGATTACCACAGAGCCCATCTCTATCAGGCGGGCATTCCCCAAATGCCGGCCACGGCCGTCCCGACTGCCGTCATGCGCACGGGTTGCGTGGCCGCCTACCGCGCGTGCCTGTTTCCGAAAACTGTCCATTATGGATCGTCGGCAGAATGTGTGATCCGTCACCGGTTTGGTCAGTCTGCTGCTCTCCGTTCCCACCGCGTCGCTCCAGGGCTTGTCATCACTCTCCCGTCGTTTTATCTCGGTTTGTCCCAACGTCAGCACAGTCGCAGTTGTGATTCTGCGACGCGAGACAGCGCGCTGCGCTCGCTGGAGGCGGCTGTCGGACGCCTGAGGCGCTGTCGCGTGCAGTGTTTACCTGTGATGGCGACCGGCCGGCGCCGGGTCCACCTGACACCCTTCTGGTGACGTCACAATGGAGCCGAACGGCCCCAGTGGCCTGTCCCCGCCCCGGCGCGGCGGCCAGCACATACCTGTGCGCTCCAGTTACCAGCCGGCTGTTAGCAGTGATAAAACGCACAGAGTGCACTTGCTAAACGCTACGCAAATGGTCATCATTTGTCATTCATTAGGCATTAATGGTCCGTGAATTACTTAGCTAAATCCAAACATAACGTGAACATGATAAAGCCTCGCCTGGCCCCTGCATTGTTTGAGTATTCCTCATTCACCGCTTTTGGCCTAATCGATCACTTCCCGGGATTCGCTTTTGTTTGCGAAGAAATCGATCCCGTTTTCCGGAGCCGCCTCAGCATCTCGAATTCCTTTTAACCGCGCGATCTGAGCCGGTCGCCACCGGATCGGTGGGAGGTCGGGCGGGTGCAGCGCAACCCCTGAATGGCACGAGCCGATCCGGGTCGCTTCCGGCGGCCGAGGACCGGTGCTCAGTTGGCCGCCGCGGACCCTCGGCGGTGCTCGGCTTCCGCCGCCCGATGGCAGAAGTGCTGGCTAAACGGCGCCACATCCTGCACTGATGCTCGGGTGTGGCGGCCAGTTACCTGACACAGGCCTTTGTGGCTCGTCTCCACGGGCCCGCGCGATGCGACACCGGACGCTGGCGGCCCGGTGCCCCCGGCCGGCCCCCGGCCGTACCTGGTGCCGCCTCCCCCTCCCCCGCGGAGTGTGCAGATCAGATAGCGGTGCCGGGGAGATAGGATACATGATCTGGGTGAACACTGCACTGAAGAAAGTCACAAAACTTGATGCCACGCTGTGTGCCTGTGACTCACACGTCTTCGCTTTCGCCATTGATGCTTCCCACTTGAAAGGTGTTTTCCTCTACTGTCCTTTGATTTAAATTACTGCTGAGTGCACTGACACAGGCGTTAATGAGGTGCGGAGACCGCCGAACGAACCCGCCTGACACCTGGTCCACTTTTTACAATGGCGTCCACGTCCAGTGTTCACGGCGTGTCGCTATACGCTCATTATTCCGGTACGATCCTTCGCTGCGCGCATTCGGCTGATGACGTGCCACGGCTGACCGCGCGCCGCGCGTACGACGACGGCGGCAGACCATCGGCGGCGTCGGTGACCTGCGCCGCGATCTGTATCACCGGCAAGGTCGAGCGAGGCGCGCCAGGCGCGGCCGCGAGCCATTACCGGCCCGAGATCTCCGCTAAATTGCTTTACAGTCGTCCAGATATGCGGCGAGCGGCGCGGCCGAACGCGGGTGCCGGAGAGCGCGTCCTCTGCGGGGGTCATCGCTCGCGACCGCTCGACTCGCGGCGGCCAATCTGCCTTCCGTCTGTCCGGGCAGAGCGCTCCCGGCTTCCATCAGCGCCATTTGCATATCGTCACGCGGCGGTGCGAAGTGGCCGGTCGTGCCGATCGGGCCTGTACATACACGTCTGGGACTGCTCCTGACTGTCCTGTCTGGATATTCAATCTTGTGACCTTTCTCTGTGTCTCACACTTAGGTAGGTACTTTCTGAAAATGTCGGCGATGGAGAGATCAGTTTGTGTGTTATGCTTGTTAGTGACCACGGCCGGCCGTTGTCCTACCGACCCGTGCAGAACCTTCCTCGGCCGTTCGTCGTTCCGAGCCAGTGGTCAGCGGTGCCATTCTCCAGCGCGTGGATGGGGCGAATTACGGACCGCCACCCGCCTCCTGTCCGCCCTCACCGCCCGCTCGTGCGGCGGCAGTTTCGGGAAGGCTGCCGTGACCGGTGTCCTACTGGGCTGCGGCGGTGGTTTGGAGTTGTGGACCGAGACCGCTGACGTGTCCACCGAGGCGTATTATTCAAAATTTTCGTGTCGCTATTCAGTTCCGTTTGCCCACTGTCTTTGTCCCCATTGTATTCAGACCAGAAACAGAAAACCATGCCTTTTCTGATATGACAGCGTTATTGGCTTATCGGGATCGACGCTCGCCTTATCAGTTGCCCCTTCTCTCTTCAAGCTGGACGGATAAAATCTACCGTTGCACATATGCATGCTACAGATTTTCATAGTTTCTGCAGGTCACGTTATTATTGATCTGTCCTTGTCGCCTGAAGTCGTCTCCTCGTCGCTCGACTATCTAAGACAGTCTGTCTTCGGCGTTCATGACACTCTGTCATGGTCACCCATGACACTCCGTCCCCTGCACCCATGACACCATCATCGGCACAATGACACACTCCCCTCAGCACCTATAACACTCCGTCCTTGGCACCCATGACACTCCGTCCTCTGCACCCATGACACTCCGTCCTCGGCACCCATGACACTTTGTCCTTGTCGCTCGCGACACCCGACGACTGCCGGACTCTGGCATCCTGTTGGTGTTTATGGCCATCGGGATTGTTTGCTGATTCGCTGTATGTTTGCTGACGGATGCCGATCCACGGCGGAGGTTTTTACGGCCGCGTGCGAACGTCATCCAAACAGCTCCCGAACAGGGTCACTCGGCTCGTGCAGTGACGTAGTTCTGGCGGAGAGCATACATTGGCGGGCCCAGAGAGGGTATTTGCTCGCTCCAGAGAGGTATTGCTCGCTACACTCGCTACCTGCATTTTCCGAAACGTACTTATCATGTGTCCTAAACAAAATTTGTTTCCTTATGCGTCAATGCGCGATTTAAACCGATTTTTTTTTTATTCAATGCAAGGAAAAGGGCAAATTTTCAGAAGTTTGAACGGTCCGGAGTTTGAACGGTCCGGTGGCGTTTAACGCTTATGACCTTCTGAATGCGCCAGCGCCCAGCATGCGATTTCATGTGCTGTTGGTCGGTGACGGTCGGGACGATCATGGCGCCCACTACAGTCGCGCTGCTGTGGTGGCTGGCGTGGAATGATTGAGGAGGTTTGGCTGTTGTGAAAGTATGGATCGATGTCACCTGTGTGTGGCGAGGAGTAACGCTTTGTTTGATTTGATGTATACGCTCGGGTACGTATATGTGTATCGAAAGCGCTTCCGTATTCCGTACAGTTGGTGTCGCATGATGCAACACATGGGCACCTGATCTGCACAACCTCCACCTGACGATGAAAAAAAAACACCTCATGGCCACATTGCATCAGCTGTCAGGGGTTGAATGACATTGGTCTTGTAATGGCAGCCATGTATGTAGTTAGTTCTATAGTCCACATCCACACTCAACACTTTACTTCACTCCATTCCATTCGAATCCTAGCCCCGCTCCACTTTGTCCAGTATCCGTTCGACTCCGCAGTGGTGGTCAGCAGCGAATCAAAGCCCGTCAGATTCGCGCGGCGTTTCACGGCGTCAGCAGTGGTCTGCACTCCCGGAATTTAGTTAGCCAGAACGTCCAAACGGCACGCTCGCAGACCCTCGCCGGCCCTTTGACTGCTGAATGGACAGAAGGGTCGGCGGTTTCGAACGCGTGGTCCGGTGAATTCGCATAGAAAAGTTCTTGTGAATTTCGGTGTTTGCAGTGCGTCTTGATTATCTGCGAAGCTTAAAAACGCCGATGAGCCCATTTTATAAAGTTCTGGGCGATTGCAAGGTGCTAAAAAGGTTCATGGCTCCCGGATCCCGGCTTTGAACTCATGGCTCCTACCTCCTGGCTCCTGAACCTCACCCTCAGTCTTCTGCTGGATCCGGGTTTTTGGATCCAGCTTCTTTGGTCTGCTGGCTCCTACCTCCCATTCCCGGCTCTCGGTCCCCGGCGCATGTCCCCCCCCCCCTCCCCTCCCCTGCTCATCGCTCCCAATTCGCGGCCCGGGGCCACCAACCGGGCCGGCCACCGCGCCGCGCCGCCCCCGGCAGCCCGGCCAGTATTTGTACGGTCCGCCGCGCGCCGCAAAAACTGGCATGCTGGCGCGAAAGGAAGAAGCTTGTTTGAATAATAACGCAACTTGCAGTCGACTAGGTGCGCGGCGGCGGTTTTTGCGAGCGGCCGTGGCCGGTGGTGACGGTGGTGCCCGCCACCGTGTCACCACGCATTGCGCTGCGTGCGCCGCTGATATGGGCGGTTCGGCATGGCGAGGCAACACGAGAAGGTGTCCCAGTTGAAAGGAGGGCTGTAGGTGCATGAAATGAAATGTTGAAGCGTGATGATGCTTGCGGGGTTTGGTAAAATGCACGGTGGGCGTCATTTGTACGCTCGAGGGGTAATGAAAACAATTTCTGGTGTTTGAAACCTGCATTTGATTCGCATGCCCTTAAAGTCTCTTCTCTGCGACATGTCGTCCATGATTATTGATGAACGCTCTTGGACAGAATTCATAAACTCAGTGTTGCGCGAAATAATGGGAATGCGGAAGGGTTTCCTGGTGATGGGTCGTTAATAACGAAGACAAGCTTTTGGTATGTTAATGGGTTCATTTAGGTAAAATTATCTGCGATTTAACTGATATCTTAAGGCTAAGCGAAGGGATTCTGGTGTCATATATATAGGTTGCCCGCTAAGTCTTCTTTTTAATAATATTTCGTTTCACTTGGAGGACATTGAAATTTGAAAGGCGTAATTTCTTGGTGGTAATGACCCTTAACATTAATCTTCATGTCATCGTTCTTTCATTTTCGCGTAGCCCATTCTCCTTTCATCATGTTGTGCCTCCGGCTGCACGCATTTTGAAGTCGACCGCGAATCTCCCATGAGCGATGTTCCTGCCCAAACGTATCGTCCGCCTCTCCTACCAGCCACAAGGAATGTCACTGGCCACGCCTTCTCCCCATGACGCTGGAATGACACGTCCAAATCCATATCCATTAATTATCCGGGGCGGCGCGGGCGCTAATCGCGATCGTTTCCACGTTGCCTTTTCGCCGCTGCCAATTAAAGCTGGCGCAGGTCGCGGCGACGGGGCCGCGGCGGGTCGGCGTGTCCTGCCCTCATCTGCCAACGGTCTCGGTCGCATCAGATACAGAGATTCCCAGCTAATGACCAGCCGGGGACGCTGGGCGCCGCGTTGGTCGCCGATGGTAACCGGTTTGCGATCTGGGCCCGTTCCGCGGCTATGACCACCAGGACTGCGGAGTCGGAGTCGGAGTCGGAGTCGGAGTCGGTCGGAGTCGACAGTTGTGACCGGAGTCGGAGTCGGAGTCGGAGTCGATTTTAGAAACCCGAGCCGGAGTCGGAGTCGGAGTCACCGAAAATCTGTCGACTCCGCAGCCCTGCAAGGTCTGCGGAGTCGGAGTCGGGAGTTGGAGTCGGTCGGAGTCGACAATTCTGCCCGGAGTCGGAGTCGGAGTCGGAGCTGGTTTTTGAAAGCCGGAGTCGGAGTCGGAGTCGGAGTCGCCGAAAATCCATCGACTCCGCAGCCCTGATGACCACGACCCCGACCAATGACAGGTGCCGCCCTGGTCTGGCGGATTGGTCAGCAGGACTGAAAGGGGAAATAACGATCAATTGGTATCACGGAATGCGAGAGAAATCGGCAGGTGCAGGAGCATTGGGACATGCTACTTTCGAGAGTTGAATCAGCATCAGATCAGATGCGGGCCGTCCCCAGGAATTCGCTCCTCCTATCGCCGATGACGCCTGCCTTCCGTGTGGTGACGCGCCCCGCCCGGCATCCGACCTTGATCGCAGGGGCCTGGCGGGGCGGCAAAAAATTGGAGCGAGGGTCGGAGAGGCGCGTCCGCGCGCGGCGCCCGCGACTACCGGGCACAGGTCCCGCGGGGGCAACGGCCGACTGGCACTGCCATTTTCCGGGCGAACCTGTCCCTCCCGGAGAACTGGCGCCAGTCCGCGGCGTCCTCGTATCTCCGCCCAGGGAGGGCGGACGGTACGGGAAGCGGCGGCGGTTTGAAAAAATCCTCGCGGATTTTATGCTCAGGGTCGAGCTCGCAGAATGGACGCTCGCTGGTCGCTGGCGCGGTTTGTCTTGTTTCGGATGGTCCTGCCGGGTCACTAGCCTTTCGATTACATGGTCGTAAAGTTTTTGTTCGAGAGGGGCGTAAGATTTCAAGGTTGTTCATTCACGTATAAGGGCACACCTGTAGGCCAGAACACTGAGAGTCATTGTCCTAATGCGAGGAGCGTCCGCCTTGTGCAGATAAAAAGAAAAGTGCCGGTGGGTTTATAGTTTCCTGCTCTGGGTGTAGGTATTGTCTCAAATACTTCTTTGTAACCTTGATGCGCCTTTAGCAATTATAATCCCAATCAGCAATAACATTTTAGCCTGGTGTCTTACAACTTGAGATGATTATATAAAAGTCTATTCCTCTTGCTAATTACGATCCGACATTCGCTCGCCAATTCATCCATCTCTCATTCATTTTGTCTGATCGAACATCTGTCAGTGATGGCCACCTGTTACCTCTTTTACCTCCTGTCGATGCCTCGTGCCTCGGGCTGACCCGGCGCGTGCCTCTGTCGACGCGCTGTAGTGTTGCGCCGGATGTCCTCTGACTGATGTTGTGCGTTCACAGGTGATGTCCAGCACGGGATCAGAGGAGGCCCAGCCGACCCCTGGCACGCCCACCAGTGAACCGGACATCGACAAGGTGGGTGTTGTGCCTCGGCACGGTGTGCACGGAATCCTCGCTTTCCGAATTGAAAATAGCGGTAAAATGATTAACGAGACTGAAGATCTTCCTTTTGACCCGCCTTTTTGTCCGTTTTTTTTTCTTCCGAAACAGTTATAAATGTTTCGATTGCCAGGTAGCTGTTGTGATTACCTATACCATTCACTGAAGATGAATTCCCAAATTAGCATCTTTGTTTAAATTATGTCAGAATACCATCTTCACGTTTTGTGTTCAACGCCGAGTGGCTTTGGTCTATGGAGCGTTATGAACGGTCCAATGTGAACATTAGCATCAACACATGAATAGGTACCTACCCTTATACCTACCGGTTGACAACACAATAAACACATTAGCGAATGCTTTGTTACGTTATCGACCGGTGCCATTTACCTGTTCACCGCCTCCATTCATTTTGCCTCTTATTATTGTCCATCAAACTCGATAACATTCGCAAAGTGCAATCCATCGATCGGATCTATCGATTGTCTCGCCACCAGCACACCGCACTACCATTGTCGCAAAAGCGTGCGCAACCGTGTGCGCCAACGATTGCCAATATAGGTGACCAGCGGCGCACCACGTGAACCGCCGACCGCCCTCCGCGGTTTAGCCGCGCCAGTGTCGCCAGCGACGCGACTTGGCCCGCGCGCGGCCGGTCACCGGCGGTATTTAGCATCATCGCAGTCAGCCAAGCGCCTCCCGAAGCGGTAATGATGCCGGTTATTTGCGCCTGGCCGCTGCGGTGTCGGTGGCCGGTGTATTCGCGGCTCTCGTGGCCTACCGGAACGGCTCGGCGACGGGCCGGCACGTAATCCCACGCCGGCACGCCGTGAAATTATCGCCGCTCGTCACCGCTGGCTGGGCTCTCTCAGGAGACGGCCGCCGCCGCGCCGCCGCGGTGCCCGTGCCGTGTGCACGCGCTAACCATGCGCCGTTGGCTCGCACGGCGCCGCCTGACCTGCCTCACCAGCGGGATGGTTGTCGGCCGTGTTTGCTCTGTCTGCCGCCGGCTGGCCAGTCTGCCTGCCGGCTTATTATTGAAGCGAGTGGCCGGCTGGGTGGTGATTTATCGCGGTTCTGGGCGGAGCCTGGCGCGCGGCGCGCAACTTTCTCATCTCGGCGGCAGCGCGCCGGCCGGCCGGCCGGCCAGCCGCCCCCTCATTCCTGCAGAATGAATGCGTTCTTTGACTCTGCGCTAGTTGGCCCTTCCTGGGTCGTAAAGCGCTGGCCAGAGTAACGACCTGTTGGGGTAATGCCCGTTTTTGCCAGCCGCGCGCCGGCGAGGCCGAGCGCCATGCAGATCGCGCGCCGGCCGCCGCGGGCATCGCCAGGCGGTTCACGTGCCCGGCCGGCGGCGGCGGCGGCGCCCACTGACGGCGGTGCGTCGTGTCCGACGAAGCGTCTCGTCGGTAACGGGTCGCCGCGACGGCTGATCGGCGCGCGCGCGTGGGAGTCGCTGGTACCGCGGCGCGCAGCGCGACTGTGACCCGCCATTATTTGCGCCTGGAGCGCTAGATAGCCACGGTCACGGGGAGGCCGGGGCGCCGCGGCGCCCTCGCGGACTGTCGCCGGCTCGGTCACCAATTACGCGGCGCGGACAGGCCGCGGTGGCGGGTCGCTTTTTGCCAACAGCGGCCGCGCTAACCGGGCCGGCCGGGCGGTCTGTACGCGGCGCGACCACAAAAAGCGGCCGAGTGTCGCCGATTCGCGGCCGTCGCTGACCGGCGAGCCTTGCTGACCGGCCGGTGACACGGTGACGGGTCGGACGGGGAGGGTGGAGCAGGGTGCCGGACCGAGGCGCGGACCGCGTGGCATCCTGTCGCCGCCGGTGGATCGGCGGCCACCCCAGCTGCGAATACCAGGTCATCGTGACGGGCCGTGCCATTCGAAGCGGGGTGCGTGGCGAAACATGCCTGCACAGATACGCCGCTGCGGTGTTTCATGCGGCGGTAGAAGAAGTCGAATGGTGACGCGTATCAGCAGTTGGTGTTGGAGCATCGCAGGCATCGAGTAAAGCGTTCGATCAAACGGCTCGGCTGATCTGCAGTCTGTAAACGTTCGCTGGAAGGTAACACGAGTGCCTTTTTGAATATGCAAATATGACATTTAGTAACACCTGTAAGCCGTATGCGGAGTGTAGATGCGGGAAACTTAGCAACGCCAAAATGAATGGACTGCAAAGAGCAGCTACCGTTTAATGAGGCACACTTAATAAGTTCCAGACAGGCGTTAGATGATACGATAGCCCACTAATGCGTACCTGCTCTCAGTTAAATCTATCTTCATTCACGCCACTGCTGTTTGATATCTTCTTCAAGAAAATGTAATGGACTTGCTGCTCACAGTTTCCGACAGATTTCCGACAGATTTTTATCTACTAACCCGCCAACAGTCTGATAGGCTGGCTATCCACAATATCGGCTGGCCTGATGGGTGGGGCTCCATGAGGACTCGTCTTCCTGTAAAACATCCAGCCTCTGCCTCGCTCAGGAGTAAAGGCCGAACTACACTGCCCCTTTTTGCGTGCGCTTTATACGAGGCGTCGGTTTTGCGTGATACTGTTCCCGAAAAACTTTGCGTTATTGCTGAGCGTTGGAGACGGAGTGACTTTCGAGCGACATCTCGCAAATCACGCACATTTGGATAGGATGCACGCAAATCTCAGATGAGACGCAGGCGATGACACGCAATTTTATTATATCTAGGCATAGATAGCATGATTCATGTTATCTATGATCTAGGACAATGAGCATACCTATGATGTCACGCAAAATGCAAATTTTTATCATCGTTATTTCTTATCTCGTAACAAAAAAAAAGCTCGCTTATTTCAGCTTACACACCGTGGCGCGGGCACTTGGCATATGCCATGACGTGGTGTTGACGGATTTTCGCACGCCCGAGAAGAGGTGTCACAACGCTAGCTGTGAAGCAATGGGGTGATTCATTGAGCTGAGCAATTCACAATGCATCGATGATTTTGAGCTTGGTAGAACTACGGACTATTTGCTTTCGATTTAACATGTTTTTATAGCGCCTGATTTACTTCCGGGAGCTTGTGGGGCAGCTTATTCCTGCGGCTCTGATTGCTCGCACGGAGTGAAAGCTATTCGGAAAATTCACCCGATAAATTACAGTCGTCAGTTTTCCCTTTTCTGCTTCAGCTTTCGATATGTCATTGCTTTACACTCGATGCCTAAACCTAAAATCCTATAATCAGCACGTTTGCAAACTTGGGCCACCTAAAGTTTAATACATTGTCATCCGGTAGGTATCAACAGTTCACAATCCAACACACTTGTGTACACAATTGAGCACGCACTAATACGCGTGTAAAACTCAGTAATAATCTGTTATCGCTGGCTGACCGTTTCTCATCGCACCGTCCTTTGTTTTCGCCGCCGGGCCGTTCCGGGCGGTGGGCGCCGTTTACTCGGGGTAAATAGCGTGTGCCATTGTGTCAGTGACGGTGCGGCTCGTGGCCAGGCGCGTGCGATCCACCTCATTGGCGCAGTGACACCCCATTGTCCGGCGCCCGGGCTCCGCTGCTGGCGCGGCGGCGGCGTGGCGGTGGTGCAAGCCAGTCGGCAGTGAGGCAGGTCAGTTTCGGCGGCCGCCGACCGCCGCCACGGGCCGCCGCCTGCCGAGCTGTCCGCGCGCGCGCCCATGGGTGACGCAAACTGCTCGCTGCTGAGCCTGGGCGGCCTGCGAGCGACCGCGGAAGCCGCGCGCGTATGTTTGTGCGCGACAGCGCGTCGTTGCGCCACTGGCTCGCCGCGCGGCCGGGCGTCATGGGCGGTCGCCGCCCGCGCCATCCGCCGCCAGCCGCTCTGCGGTGCCCGCGGCGCGATGCCAACGAACGGGTTATGTGCGCGCCGCCGCCGCCAGCCGCCAGCCGGTGCAAGCAAACAAGTGGCGACGCCCGCGGCACGATGATAGTACGCTTTATTGGCGGTCTAACCCAGTTCCACGCGGAAAGACGGGCCGGGGAAAGGACGAATTTATGCGTGCGCCCGAAGCCGTTACGATGGCGCACTTTCGGAACGTGCAACCTGCGGCGTCACGCCGGTGGAGAGCGGCGTGAGCAGCCGATCTCAATAGGCGCCCGCTCGCGTGCGTGTGCGTGAGCGGTGGTCCCGAGATGAGCGGCCGGCCGCGCCCTCCGATCGGACGAGCCCGTTACATACAGCGGGGCGTGTTTGTTTCCCAACTGCCGGCACATGAGAGGACGAGGAAGGGACGGAGCCCCCGGGCAGGTTGGGGTGCTTGGCGGGATCGAGCCCCAGGTAGAGAGGGTAGCAGGTGGGAGAGCGATCCACTTCCGATGGGCGGAGTCATGGGATGCGATTTCTGGGTCCCGAGAGACAAGAGAGGCTATATGAGCTATGTATTGCACTGCATGCATAACATATTGATCAGAATATTACCTAATTTCTTCGAATATCACATTTTCTCTGGAGAGCCAATGATGTGCGATCTGAGCGTTGCTCGTATATTTTCTTAGAAACCATTGCAAGCCCCCCAAGGAAAGTCACGTGGCTCAGTTGAGAACCAATACCGTTCTCATGGTGAAAAAGGCAACATCCGCTGCCAATAAATGCTCCAGTACCGTCATGTGAACGCACCTGAACGCCCGGCACTGAGCCCGGCTTATTAGCGCCTTGACGACCGGCCTGATTGGGGTTGGAGTTCACATTAGCGCTAGCCCATCGGCCCGGCTCGGCCCCGGGGACCTCTCCTCCCCCTCGGTGCCATTTGGGGATAATTCGCCCCGGCTCTGGCTTCCTGATTGGTCGGAGCCGGTGCCGGTCAGCCCGCGATGACAGGTTGGCGCGCGCGCCGGCGGCAGTGCGGTTCGGCGGCGGGGGGGGGGGGTGGCCGGTTTTTGCGTGCGGCTGTGTGAGAGCGCAATGGGCGGCCGCCGCCGAGCGCGACGGTCGCCGCCGCGGCAAAAACGGCGCGCCACCGCCGGCAGAACCCACACAGACGCACACGGAACGGCACCGCGCGCCGCGTCTGTCGGCGGCGACGGCCGGTGATTTCACGGACGGCGAACCGGCCGCTGCCTGCTCCCGCCGTCAGTCGACGACGGCACGGTACCGGTGGGCTGTCGCCGGCCGCTCCGCGCGGACCGTGGGCGCTGATAGACTGCAGAGCGGAGTCGGTGGCATCCAATCACGGAACGGGGATGTAGAGAGAACACCTCACTCGAATCACGAAACGAGGATGAGTAGGCAGTATGTAGGCACATGGAACGGCACTTCCGCCACGCACTGCCCGGAACTCAGTTTTAAAATTACGGCAACAAATGTAGAGTTTGGTGTATGGATAAGCTGCCTTATTCACTAATTATCTACTACATTGATATTCTTTGCATCGCTATTAGGTACACGCAAATCATTTCTCGGTCGTTTTTCGTCAGGCCCACTCATTTCACACCTCAAAAGCGCCCCCTTTTATCCTGGGACTTCGTCTGAAAAACCCATGTCTCTGACGTGCCAGGTCCCGTGTTTTTACTCGCAGCTTCTTATTGCTTCCTGAATGGCTTGGATGCGCTCATGGCTTTATGTTTAGGAACAAAAAAGCTCGCACACATGTTTGTTCTTCTAATGCGAATCATGACCCACGTGAGAATCGCAATGACCATTAACCAATGACCATATCTGACCGTCTTATTTTTTTTTTTTTTACTTTTCAGATAAGCAACGGCTCGGTAGGCGAAACTCCGCCTCCACATTGGGACTACAACATGTGTAAGTACCGACTATCACCTAATGACTTGCCAAATATACTCTCATCCGATGAGCAGAACGGATGACAGGACAGCTGCCGACTGAGTCTGATATTCGAGAGAGACCTGACCCGGGTCGCACCTGCCTCTACCGCTACGCCCCGCGTCGGCTGGGACCGGCCGCGCCTTATCACTGGCGAATCGCCGCCGTCGGCCGCGCGAGGACGCGTCAATGACGCCGGACCCGCTGCCTGCCCGACTTATTATTCCAATTTCACCTTTCACTGAGGACTGCCGGCTCGTCCCCGCGCGCAGGTCGGGTCGCTGTCCCCTGGGTGGTGTGCGTGCGCGTATGTGCGCGCGATGCGCGCGCGGAGGATCCCAGGTGGATACCGTCTCTCCGCGGGGTGCCACCTGGCCGCGGCGGTGACCGTTGGGGCGACGGTGTGTGTTTGTTTGTACATATGTGTGCGTCTCGTTCGGGCCACTTGCCCGCGAGCGTCGGTTTAATTGAAGTGTTCCTGTTGTGCCGCGCTGAGCCTGAGCGCGGTGCTGGGATGGGCGGGCGAAGTGAAGCGTGTTTGGTTCAGCAGGTCCTGTTTGAGTGCGCCCCTTGTCATCCGGGTTTGAAGCAGGTGACCCATTCATGTGTTCCGATGCCATCTCCTGTCCCGAATCGGTCATCCCAATCCCCGTAACGCAGCCTTCTTATCGACTCATGACTCGGTGACTGCCTAGGTGACTCCGACTGACTAGGTGGAGAGGGTGCGCGGCGAAAGCCGGTCCCCTGTCGCACCGATCCTGTCCGCTCTCTCGCAGTCCCCAGGCGTGTCATGCAGCAGTTATCCATGCATATTCATCGGCGCACTGCACTGCGCGCCGCTGGGCCCAATTCCCTTTCCCACATCCCTGCATCGTAGCATGTCATTTTCGGTGATTTGTTTGTCATTACCCCGGTGTTTGCGCGTTTTTCTGCCCGTTTTTGCCGTGCATTGAAGCGAATAGCCAGCCGACCGCAAGCTGAGTTATAGGCCAATGGAGAAGGCGTTGCCCTAGGTCTGTTATTGCATGGGCCGGCCGGCCGGCGGCCGCGGCGCGCCGCTAGGGCCCTCGGGCGAGGAGTGGCTGAAACTGACTGCAGCCGCGCCGCAGCGCGCCGGCCGCGGTGGCAGCGGTGGCCACGGAAGCGGTGCCGCGCCCCGGTGCGCCGCTCGCGTTTGAAGCGGCCGTTTAATCTGGCCCGCTGGCTGTCAACGTTTTTGTTTTTCGCGTGTAATGGTCGCCGGCGGGCCGGCGATGCGTCTCGGCGGGCGGCGGAGCGCTGGCGACCCGGCGTCGCCCGGTAGCACGACACCAGGCCGTCGCTCGCAATCAATGACGGCGGCTGGTACGGCTGTCACCGCCGCGGCCGATCGGCCCTAGCGGACGCGACGTCACCCTCATGGCATGCGTGCACGCAGCGCGGCCCGTTTCCGTCAGCCAGCCGGCGACAAACGCACAGTGCGAACAGGGATGAACGGTCCGTCCGTCCGTCCAGCGGGCACTGGGCGACGGTGACGGTCGGCAGTCGTTAGTGTCGTCGTTTGGAGCGACGGCCAGCTTTACTGCCGTGGCCAGGGGCCGTCTGTTTATCCCGGACCGGCCGGCCAGGTAGACGACCCTCGCCAAAAGCTGATCTGCGCCGCTCGCGGATTTTTCACTCATTGTTGTGGGCCGCATTCCGGAGCATCTCCGTCGGCCGGTGGGCCGCCGCTGCCGTCGCCGCCGGCGGATTATTTATTTATGCCGGGCGGGCGGCGAGCATGGCCATTCTGTGGCGATTTCACACGGCGCGTCGCGCGGCGCCGGGACGGGGCGGACGGGCCGGGGACAGGTCGCCCGTTTGGCGAGGACTCGTTTGGTCGCCGCCGAGGGCTGATGGTCAGAGATGATTGGCCCGGCCCGGCCCGACCGAGACCGGTTCCTGGCGTCCACTGATAGAAAAAACCCGCAGCGGGTAGATGACCTTTCCCAATTTCGCATGAGAGAGGACCCTTTTTACGACGGTCAATTCGGATCGAGAATGGTTTTTTGCTTGAACGGCCGACCGGCGCGCTGGCAGTGGTTCAGTGCGGCCGTTCGGCCGTCTTGCTCTCGGAAGAGCAGAGCGGACGCGGGGCGGTCATGTGCGTCTGGCCGCGAGCTGCCGTCGCGGGGTGGCTCGCCGGTCGCCGCTGACAGCTCCATGAGAGGGCAGCCGCCGCCGCCGGGCGCTCCGACGCCCGCCGCGCTGATGAGCTATGGTATTTCGCATCTCGCCGCGGGCGCACCCGCCGAACGCCGGCCCGGCTCTGATGAATGTCGATTCCGCGCTGCCGCAACGGCACAGATAATTAACGCCGTGCTGTTTAACTGCCGTAATGGGTTCAGTGCCTAGGCGACCGCTCTTCGCCTCGGCGGCGCGGCCGCGTTTTTATTTGCGCCGCCCCGTTTATAGACGCCGTCGATCGCCGCTCGACCATAATTTTGACAGTAATTAAACGCCCGATCGGCCGGTGGCCGGCACTTGACCTGGGCCAAGCGGGCGGCGCCCCGGCTCGCCGCGTTTCGCACGATAATAAACCGGTGTATCCGGCGGTGCCCGGGGCGCCCTCGGCGGCCGCCACACGGCCTCGCCGCCGGCCCGATCGCCATTTGTCCGACGTCGCCAACGATGCGGTAATCGTGCGAAAGCGGCGTGGGCGTCGCCGATTAGACCATTAGCGCTCTGAGACCGCGCCTGGGCGGCGGCCGGCTGTCCGCGGATGCTCTCTGACACGGCTCCGGCGCGCGGCGACACGTCGGGCCGCGACCCTGCCGCTCGCCAGCGCGCGCGAGCCGGTGAAAAGAGATGCTGCAGCCGTCTTTTTGCCGTCGGGCGTCGCGGCGCGGCGGCGGCATTAGAAAGCGGCCAGCCATGGCGCGGCTGCAGGTGCCGGAATAGGAGCGGCGCGGCCGGCCGACGCACCTGTTTACCGCCGGCCCGAGCGCATTGCACGGCGCGCCGCCGGTCCGCCGCGCGTGAAAGGCCGCCGCGCGCGCCGCCCGCCGTCCGTCCGCCGGCCGCCCACCCCTGGCCGTGCTCAACGAGCGCAAAAAGCCGGCCGTGCGCCGCGCCGCTGCTATATGTGATCGTATATTGCCGGCCGGGCACGACGCGGCATTCTTGCGCCGCTCGAGCCGCCGGCGGGAGGCTGGTCCGATCACGGCCGCCCCGGTCCGCCAGCCGCATCGCGGCCCGGCCCATGGCGCGCTGCGCTGTTTATGTGCGCCGCGCCGCGCGAGATGGGCTCCTCCTCCTCCCCGGATGGCTTTGGGCGGCGGTCTGACCAGCGCGGCAGGCTGACTGGGGAGACGAGCCGGAGCTGCATCGGTCTTTTCCAAGTGTGCTGCCGTACCGTCCTCTCTAAAGATAAGCTTCTAGTCAGGTGTGCTCTTGATGCACATTGTACAATTAATTTGTACGTTAATCCTGTGTGGTCCATTTAATTAACGTTTCGTCTTCTCGATGTGCATTTTGCACCGTGCACTGCAGTGGCTTAAGAAGCTTATCTTTTGCCTACATCACTTTCCGATAAGCTAATCAAGTCATCACGTGGCGACTGTCTATGTCCCGTCGCCGTCCGTTCCGGGATCTCCGGCCCGGCTCCCGAAATAGTCGCGGCGCGGTGACCAGTCCGTGATTAGTACCGTGTTCAGCCGGTTATCTGCGCAGCCCCGGCGGCCACAGCAGGGCCTTATTGGCAATATGGTGGGGCGGTGCTCCATTCCACTAATGCCGACTGATGAACCCTTGCCTGTTCATCACTGAGTCGATGTATCGGCTGCAGCCGATATGTCGCTAATAACCCGAGCGGTCCTGAGTGGGAGAGGCGGGATGCCGAGAGGGCTGCCCGCGCCAAACGCGGCCCGACTGCCAGGAAGGCAGGACGGACCGATAGTCGATAGTAGTCGGGCTCTGAACGGGTATCATGGCGAGGGAAAGGTGTGGGGCGAGGAAGGTATGCCAGGATGCCTGTGGGATAGACAGGCTATTCGCGATGTCTTTGTCCGTTCCTAAATTTGGATATGCACGAGCGATGCAGACTAAGTAATAATAGGTTATACGATTTCGACCATTTTCTTCCGTCATTCCACAAATGTTTCCGTGCATACGCCACACGAACACAATTTTGTACAACAGTCTGATCACAAACCCTCTGTAATTCATGAAAACTGGTTCAAGTGTTTGATATGGGTCTGTTAAAAAAATCCACCTTCGAAGTCCCAGTCAGTTAACCAAAGACCATGTCTGATTCTAAACCAAACGCCGATTCCATTTTTTTTCGATCGCTTGGCCACCGCTAGGTAGATGCAAAATAAAGGATATCATTTACTTCAAAGTTCAACATTATTTTTTTTTTGCGGCAAATTCACGATGTAAATAGTTTGTTGATGTAACTTATACCTTTTGTTCCGTATGCTGAGAGGTTGCTGACGGAACACGCACGTGGTGATACGTATTTTGCATTTGTCGCTGTGTCATGTCTATTCATGAAATAGACATTCTGGGAATCATGGATTGTGAACTAATATGCTTTGATTAGAATTAGATCGATTTGGGCTAGCTTTGCTAAGAATAGTGAGTTTCCGCCAGTCTACAACATAATGGCGACCCTGGCAGGACTAAAGGACTACTTAGATCTGGCGGAAAAGTATGGATTAAGCGGGGAATCAGCCCTGAAATATGCGAACGAACAGATGGATCGTGCTGAGCTCTTGAAGGCCAAAGAAAGGGAAAGAGAAGAAAGAAGAGAAGAGAGGGAGAAGGAAAGAGAAGCGAAAGAAAAGGATCGACAGGAAAGGGAGAAAGAGCGACAACACGAATTAGAGATTGCTAGACTTCGTTGCACATCTGAAACATCTTTAGATCAAGAGGCATCTCAGGGAAAGGCACCTACCGGTCCAAGAATGCCCACATTTGATGAGGAAAAGGACGATATGGACAGTTACATTAAACGCTTT